AATCCAAGTTCTTCTGCTGCCAGTCCCAGCCAGAAATGAAAAGGAGGAGGGAGGAAACACTGAAGAGTCAATTCAAGTTTAGTTGTGGAAATGACTTAAGATTTGGAGTGTGGGGAAAGGGATATTATTTTAATTGCACTCATTTACGCATTCCTACTTCTCCACTTTCCTGCTCTTATCTAGTCAGAGCTGTTGTCTTGCTCTGTGGAAGTCAAGAATGCCCTTCATTTGAAAGACACTGAGGACCAAATTCATTACTGGTGAAGGAATATGAAGTGGGGGAAAGGACTACAGCCTGGGGGCTCACAGAAGGATAGTATGAAACCATGCTTCCTTGATGAAGAATGAGGAAGGAATATGATACCAGTGAAGCACTGGGGGAGGTATAAGAGCAGAATGTGGGGAATAAATAGAGCTAGAAGGGGAATGGGAAAGAAAAAATGTGCAATCTGGTCAGGAGTGTTTCAGGTGCAAAGAACCCGAGTATGTAATGAAGAAAGCATTTCTATGCCAGCATGGCCCCTTGTGCCGGTTATTGTAATAGGACAGGTTACTGCACTAGGACAGTCACTAGTGTATAAAAATGCCAAGCCCTCCACAAAAGTGCCTCCCCTGCACTGGAGCCTTTTGCAGAAAAGGGCACAGAGCCACAAAGAAAAGGGCCTTCTGCATTAAGGCAGTCCTTAAGAAAGCATCCTCAGCTATTTTGCTGCCCCTTTGGTGTCACAAACACCCATGCAAAGGAGTCCTAGGTAACAGTGAATGGAGAGAACGGGAGAGGGAAAGAACAAGTGCCTTAATTCTTCCATTTCAAAAGCCTCTCCGTTCCACTATACACTGCTCCCATATGAGCGTAGGAAGTGAAGGATAGCTCACTAGTAAATGTGACAGCCTAAAGTCCAGGGGTACCTGTAGACGTGCTGGGAGGCTACTTCAATGTGATGTAATTACAGCACATCAGAGCAGACTCAATTAATCGAGTCTGCTGGAGCATGCCAATTAGCTTATTTGACAGGCTTTAGTTAGTGTCCCTGCCGCCATTTTGAAGCATGGGAAGCGCTGATACATGAGACACTGTGGTGCTTTAATTAGAGCAGATCTCAGAGCCTATCTAATTGAAGTGCCCCTCCCACCCCGAGCATGTGTGAAAACATCCGGGAAGATTCCACGTGAACTCCCTGACCTGCCGCCGACATTCTGCGAGACCACAAGCGAAGCACTTAGCCTCCCCTTTCAACCTTCGCCATTATAATAAGCATGAGATGTTCTTTCATTCCAACTACCAGCACCACAATTCCCTCGTGCTGATGTCCAGTTCTTTAAAGACTCAGCTTTCCTACTAGTCTGCTTAAGTGCCTGGGGTGAGTCACTTCACTGCTATGTGCCTCAGTTTCTTCATCTGCAAAATGTGTAACAATCTCATCTACAAAGCACTGAGAAGTCTATGAAGGAAAAGTGTGGCAGAAGAGCTAAAGACTGTGAATGAATAATAAAAGATTGCTACTAATAAAAATTCTCAGGGACATATTTTCATATGGAAATCTAGCCATACAGATTGGTGGCTAAAACCCATTTTAGGGGACTTACCTGTGAAGATACCCTTGTAAATCCCTGACTCTAAGGACTAAATACATTTGAAAACACAGCCCTACATTGGTTATTAGTAGTAATAGACTATTTCTAAACTCTAATATAGAGTGATCATCAACATTTGTATTTTCACAAATTGCTAAATATTATGGGATGTGGGGTATGAATCACCGTATCGCTACTGCCTGTGGTAAAGGCAGCTTGATATAAACCACCTGAGGATCCAGTTCAGTTATATAAACCTACCAGTGACAATGGCTCAGATTTTTCCTATTAAGTGATTAAAGTTCAACACCTGAATGATCCAACTTTCAAAGATGCTGAGTAGTCATAACTTGGGCTTCAGTGAAAATCAGTCCATTTAAGTGCCTTATAAAGTTAGGTACCTTTCTTTTAAATTCCTTTTCTGGAAACAATATTTTATTCCTAAAACCATCTTGCTAATCAATCAACACATTGCACTAACCGAATGCAACTGGCAGAGGAGCTCTGATATCCCAGGCCTAAATAACTTTTGAAACTTCTAGTTCTAATTGAGCAAATAGCCATGTATATTTTCAACATATTAAGTCATAGGGCAAGAGAAAGTTATAGTTCAGGTTAAACAAGAAGGTATAAATCCCAGGAGATGACACTGATGCCTTAACTTATACCAGTTTGAAACTGGAATAGGAAAACTGGTACAACCCCGGTGTAGAATCAGTTATACCATTATAAAAGGTGCTTATATTGGTATAGATTATTCCTTATACATTTAAAAAAGTACAAGAGGTCTGAAGAGACCAGGACTAAGTGAAGAAGAAATCTGTGGACACAGTTGCACTGTCCTTAACTAGCCATTTCTAAACATCTACATGTTTTAGATGCTGCTGAGGTATCCTAGCAAAAGTCAAGGACTTTTTTTAGAGTGATACCTTCTTTTAGACCTGCTCATAATTGGAATAAAGCTGACAAGCTTCCGAATGCAAGGACTTCTTCGGTTACAGTAGGACCCTAGAGTTATTTTGGGGCACTAAATACAGTTTTGGAGGTTAGACTCAATTGATACCAACTGTCAGTCCTTACAAATTGTACAGTCTTAGAAATATTAAGTTTGATTATTTACAAAGTAAGCATGTCTGATAGCAAAATCCTAATTAATCTCACCTCCCAGAAGACTCCCTTTGAACTGTTTAGGAACAGCTCACACTCCCAACATAGAGACTTTCTAAAAGGCACTTCCCATTGATAAAACTCATCTTCCCGCTCACCTTCAGCAACAATTTAAATCAGTGGGAGAAGTATACTGAGAAACTGCTTAGAATCTCAAATAATTTCTGCCTTTCCATTCATTCATTACCTCTCTAGCAGGAGAATGTGCAGTTACAAGAATTTTATACAATTAGTGCTCTGAGAGTGCTTTAAATGCAAACCTGTAAGAGGAAAGTAAAAACAAATCAAAGTTAATTGTGACTGGCTGGAACAAAATGCTTAAATCAATATGACGACAGCTCATCTGCTCGTCATTTAGCCATTACCTGGGAGACGAACACCTCCTGCTGTGCCTGATTTTTTTGATACAGATTTACAACTACCTCAATCCTACAGGAACAAGCTAAGCCAAAGATATCCCAGACTCCCTGTGCCATTATACTGTTTGTCCTTAATTTCATCTTCTCTTATTTATTCCTGTTTGTTTTTATGTATCTCTTTGTTTGTTAGAAAGACGCGTTACACATGAGAATTTGGGCACGCGGAAAGTTTAGAACACAGGAAGAAAAGAAATGAAGTCAATATTTTCAGCTTGCAGATACAGTATTTTTTTCTCCACAAAACTGAACAGTGCTCTTAAAGAAGAAAACCCGTGCAGAGGGAGAGAGGGAGGGAGAGAGAAAATGCATTTCTAAACAAAAATTAAGGTTTCAAATAGCTCTAGTTAAATTAGAATGAATTTCAAAAGACTTCTTTAAAGCACAGAATCCACTTTAAAACATGTTGTAAGTACAAATTTGGAAATAGAAGTTTCATTGTTTGGTGCTTAGCATACTGAATGCCTAAGGATGTAGGGCATACAACTAAGGAAAGGGCAGTCTGATGACCTGTGGATATACATGGCCTGATTATTATCTTACCCACAATGGCAGATATCAGGAATATATTCAAGTCAATAGAGCTTCACCAGTGTCTACAGGATCAAAATAAGTCCTATTCCTTATTTGCTCAGTATTTGTTGAAACCAACTGAATTTCCCCAAATCATAGCCTCTGGGTTCTCTCGGTAATGCCTGTAGCTCTTAAATGCTAAAGGCTAGTGAGTCAAAATTATGACACCTAAATTTTTAACCAAACCTAAGGTTCAACCAGCATCCTTCGTATTACTGTATCTTGTTTTGGGGAGATCTATCATAAAACCAGAATCAATGCCATCTCCTGAAACAAAAGTTGTTATATTATTATACATTCCTGAAATAAATACCTGTATTTGCATATACAGATATTTCAGGGTATGTAAATCCCCTAATACCCCTTCCCTAAATTGCAACTTTTGCTGTAATACTGACAAACCAGAGACACTTCTGTTTAACAAGTCCATATAACACGAGTCTAGATTTATCAGACCAATCACATTTGAGGAAAAAAAATATCACTAACAAGTTTATTTAATAATCAACTTATTCTTTTTAACTGGAATGATGTCTCAGCCTAATATATATGTATACAATATTTATTGCAGTCAGGTAATAGTTAGAGAACAGTAAATTCTGGATTAAAACAGCTACTGTCACCTCCCTCTTACTTTTCCTCCCCCTCTAGGTTAAATGTGCAAAATGTTAACAATCTACTGGGAGCGTGCATAAAAGGGAGTGTAAATAAGTATGGAAAACCTATGAGAAAACTGTTATGGAAAATGCTTGAATGGCAAAGTGCAAAGGGTGACAAGAAGAAAATTGTGATGGCATACAAAAGGCAAGAGAATAAGAAAGATCTGATACAATAGATAGTCAGTGTTAGCCTATCAACTTGCTGTTAGCTTGCGTTCTACCTACCACCCCCTCAATACATTCATTTTTTGTTATGATAAAGGACATTCATGATCAGTAACAATGTTATAATGATAGTAAATGTAGGATTTAAGGTATATAAAACCTTTAACCAACATTAAAAAGCCACCAAGGGGGAGTTACCTTGCACAAGGTTCTATTTAGTGATGGTTCCACCCTTTCACTCACTGACTGCAAATCAGCATTTTTAGTGGACAATAGGCTCAGCAGTGGCCTTATGATTGCCTCTTTTCAAATGGAAATGGCTATCCTAACTCCTCTGCCAGGTTTTTCTTACCAGAGCACAAATTGCAGTTTACAAGGCTCTGAGAAAAAAAAAAATCTTAGCTGAATATCTTTTTTTTATTCGACAAACTGACATGTAAATTACCCTTTAAGTGCTCCACTCTAGGGCTCTGATCATCTCCTAATTGTCACAGTCAATTGTAGCCAACAGTCTCTTCAATCCCAAGCGCTTTGACAACAAGCATAAGGATCAAAGCAGAATCAGCTCCCTTCAATATCCTTCTGTTTAGGATGCTACAAAAAGCCTGAAAAAGAAAGGTGTAAGGGCATTACTGTAGAAGAAACTGAGAGTAGAAAGTAGTATAATAGTCATTTTCTCCTTCTCTAATATTGTATATCCTCACATGCACTCTTATCTCATATTCAGCATGAATACATAAACATCTATGGGAACAAATATGACCTGAAAGTTGTTTTATTACATATTGCTATTTCAGAATTAACACGCTATGAATTTTGAGTATGTCTCTCCCTTTCCACTACAACTTTGCCCTCAATTTTAAAGGAATAAGCAGTAAGTAGTTGTGATTATTATTATTCTAGCAGCCTCCATTGGTTTTTCACAAAACAATAGCAAATATATCTCTGAAGATAAGGTTCTCAGGCTAAGTCTTTTCCCTTCGAAACCACTGTAAATCGGAAGTAGTTCAGCTAACATCACTGCTCAGATCAAGTCACCTTGATGTGCAATGGGTGTAAGTTAGACAAATATCAGGCCATTTGTATTCAAAATACAGCACTCGAATGTGGCTATGTACCATTACATGATCACACTACACTCAAACATCCAAGAGAAATTTTCAGTTGATTCAGTGTGCTTTGGATAAGATGTTTAAGAGTCTTTTAAACAAAATCTGAGGTGCATGCACACGTTACATTTAGATTGACCTAACTGGGATTAGATTGATCTAAGTGCCAATCTGTGTAGACATTTGGGAAGGTTAAATCAAGCAAAAAACAGCCAGCCTGATCTAAATTAGTACACCTGAGGAGGTGAGGTGCACTAAGTTAGATCAGGAATGGGTTAGCCTGATCTAACATGTGCCAAGTGCAGCCTGGAGCTAGCACAGCCCAGCAGTTCACCCTAGCCCCAGGCTATGCTCTTCCTATCCCCCTCCTTCCCCTCACCCTGACTGGAGATACCCACATGAATATCCATTAATGCAGCATCATCACCGAGCACCCAAAGCAGTTATTTTCCTGGATCCTCTGTCTCCTGCAAGATTTTTCATGAAAGGTATAATGTTGCCCTTGTTTATCCAATAATCCCACAATCAACTTAACATGGCAATTGTTACAGCACTGACAAAAAGAAGGGAATTTAGAGGTTAGGATTCATGTGCTATTTAAAAAAGGACTTTGGGGAGTTACTTTGCTGTGATTTTCATCTGAAATTCTTAAAGGACACTGGATCTGTTGTGTATTCTTTATCTGTCAGTTTGTGTAACAACATTCATTTCCATGACTATATTTTTTGAGCTAAACTTTTCTCCTTTTTTAATCCTATAAAATACCTTTCAACTCTCAGAAATTTCATGGAGTAAAAACGGAGGTAGAATTTAATTTAATTAACTCACTACTGATAACTGTTAAAATTGGAACTACAGTAAATTAATTTGTGGATTTAAAAGGAAAAAAGAAACGTTTTGATCAAAATATGACAAAAAAAATCTTTCCTATATAAATATACCAGTAGTTTAGGAAACTTACTTCCTGTAAGTTTTCACATTTATTTTCATTATGAATCAGAATAAAAAAGGCAACATTTCTTACAGGACAGTCCAAGAAACTTTGATTCAGAAACATCCAACATTTGTGTTGATAATAGCAAAAAAGTTTAAAATATTCCGTTCAAATTATATTTTAAACATATACATTTGAAAGAAATGAGAAAATTTAACTGAAAACATAATTTTGTCAACTCTTTCCAGTTGAAAACTTTGAAATAAACTCTTTTCCTGTGAACACTTTTTTCATTTGGATGAAACCATGTTTTCCAGTAGAAAATGGCACTGCAAAGTTTTGTTTCAACCACGTCACATCCATAACATGTATAGCCCTCACTTTAGCTCAGGGATTCTCAACTTTGTCGACTTAAGGACCCCCTGGGTAGACTCACATTCCCCCTTGGAAAATCCCAGCTCTTACTTTTCACACTCTCTCTTTTTTTTTTTTTGACTACAGAAAAATAATAAGAGCAGTTTGTTTCTCTTGCAGAGAGCTCAGAAGGACCACAACTATGGATTTCTATTTGAAATCTATGGGCATATCCAGATGAGCACGCATGTGCGGTATGTGGCGCCACAGACCCATCTATGGGACCACACACATCAGACATGTAGGTGTTCCCTGTGCTGCTAATTAGCAGTGTTGGGGTACGGAGCTTTTTAACACCAGGAGATTCCAGTGTCAAAAGCAACACGCTAGAGAAAGCAGGGCCACGCATGTGGCCACAGCATGTGCTGCCCAAAACTGGAGCCTGGCCAGCCAGAGCCACACTCCAGCTGCAGACCAGGCTCCCTGGCGCCGAGTTGCCACTGCCAGAGCTCTGGAAGGCCCACAGGACGCCAGGTAAGGCTGCTGGGGCCAGCCAAGGTGCTGGCTCCAGTCTCCCCTGCCCTGTCCGGGGCAACTTGCTGGGCACCAGAACATGCACGCACCGGCATTCCCTGGGGAAATGCATGTGCGCACTCACCTGGACGCATCCTATGAGTTTATCTTGTGAATCATATATGCAGACCTAATAGTGCATTATTTTGTTGCATCCATGAAAGGATGTCAGGGTACCCCAGGATGCCAAGGCACCCTTACTGAGAGTCACTGCTTTAGCCGCACCACACCACACCAAATAGGTATTCCTATTTAAATCAACAGCAGAGGTTCTAATAAATTTCAGATATGACCAGTTATGTTTTTATTGCTTACCCCTATGCTTTCTCTCATGAACTCATTCCCTCCACCACCCCCCACACACACACAAGGAGTAAATTCTGTGGGTCTATTTTACTCACTGACACTCATTTAATATATAAAGATGTTTTCACCACCCCACTTAACCACAAGTGTTCTGCCTGCCAAGAAAAAATGCAAGGTCACCAGGAAAGTGATTACTACTTGTTCTAACTATACTTATTTAAACAACAGAAATGGTTCCAAATAGCAGGGCAAACAGCTAGCACAGACTGCACTGGAATCTTATGTTATTTGAAAATGCATCCAATTACTTACGATGTAGTACTGTCAGTTCCCAGCTTTGGTCTGCTGACCAGCTGCTAGGGGTCTTGCAACTTTTCTTTGTTTGTAGTTGCTAAATCACAATAAAGAAAAGGAAAAATATTTACCTACTTTCCTATTACACCTCATCCGTGTTTGTCATTGCTATACTTCGGCAGAGCTGGCAATTTTGTCACCTATGAAATTAGAGCTGGTTCACATGACCATGAATGTGAAGAGAGGTGGTTCATGAGACCATTCTCCACTAAAATATGACCCACACTATGAAAAGCTGTGAGAACTCATTGCCTAGCACACAGGGCCTTCTGTAAACATTTCTCAACAAAACTACTGCATGGAATCATAAAACAAATCAGAAGACACCATGCAGGTCATCTGTTGGGTAGGTATATTTCATGCGACATCAAGGACAAGGTCATTTCTTGCCCTACATGACAGAAGGGGAAGGGGCAGGATGAAAAGAAGGCAACCACTCCCCATCTGTGCAGAAGGGTCTGGGTAGTGGAGAAGCTGGAGACCTGTTTCTACCTCCCCATCTAATACACTAGACCACCCAGCTGATCGGAACAGAAATGGAAACAAGCTGTTAATCTTATATGGCAGTGGCAGTGTTTCCTACCTGAAACTGTGGCACCAAGAAAGGAATGATAAGTACTGAATTGTTCCTGGGGCAGTACTGTATACTGCCGTTTACTGTAGGCTGAAAGCAAACTCCCCATCTAGTCATAAAGGGGTAGAATAATAGCATTCATTGTGACTCTGACATTTCTGTTGGAGAGGTTTGCTTCTCAGTAAGCAGTTATGTTTCCCTATTTAGTTCTAAACTACAATCATGGATTTTTACAGTCCTTATTTTTATGCTTCTGAAAAAATGAAAGGATGAAAGGTTACATTTGGTTAGTGTAGGAGTGACAGCCAAAGTGCATATGACAATGTGATGTGAAAGTCTTTGGCTATACAACCAATTTGGGAGAAAATAAGGTTATGGCTCCAAAAATACCATGATCAACCAACATGTTTTGAGCATTAATCAAAGCTGAATTGTATCCTCATGGCACTATAACACTGCTTGGAATTTATGCAACACTTTATCTTCAAGGTGCTTTGCAAACATTAAAGCTTTTATGAACCCCAGCGCAGTGCTGGTTCTGAAGAAGTGCATGAGGTAAGATATATCTGCAGAGATCAAGAGCTTTGGGATGTCTCAAAAATGCTTGGGAAACACTGCAAAAGGCATTGCTAAAACTTTCTGGAAATAATGTACCATGTGTCCTTCACAGTGGCCTTCTCCAAGTGATGTCCAATGCATGGCATATCTTCTGTATAAATGCAGACCATAAAAGCCATTGCACACTGACAACGATTGCAGAATCCTCCTACTGTCAGAGCCAAATGATGCCTTCTACTGGGGAAAGGATTTTTCCTAGCTTACCAAACTGCTGGTGCTACATGCATAATTCAATCCTTCCAAGCCTGAGGAAATAAATATCCCCATGGGGGAAACTGAGGCAGAGTTGAAAACCCACTGAAGTCAATGAAACTGATGAAACCAATTAAACCCATTGAAGTCAATGGAAAGATTCCCAAATCAGTGAGGTGATCAAGGCCACAAAAGAGATCAGCAGAGCTGAAATTAGAATTCAGGAATTCTTGAGTCTGCTGTGCTGGGGTTCCCTGTGTCCCAGGGAATCCCATATAGTCCAACCACACCTTTCCCTGCATTTAAATAATTTCTCCTTCCTCAAAAGTAGGCCAAATTCTGCCCTCAGCTTTATTAGAAGTCTTTGCTAGAAACTAACTGCACATGCATGCATATATCTGAGGGCACTACAGCTTTTACAAATGATAATCATTTATGGCCATAGAAAAAAGCTTTTCTACTGTAGTGAAAGATGCTTTAACAACAAACACTCAGAGCTCAGCAGAACACTTTGGTGTGAACACAAGTCAAACAAAAGGGCACTCGGTATTCTTCAGTTAAGAGAAGAGTTTGCCAAATAGGGATGGGTCTCTGGTCTTAATGGATATGACAATTGATATAGGAAATGAAAGAAATTAAAAAAAATCAGAAGAATGTATAGCCACTATTAAATTGTGCTTTTTAGTTGCAGTAAAGCAAGCAGCACAATGAAATGACACTGAATGCCCATTTCTCACAGCCTGTCTGGCCTACAGTTACTTTAGGCTTGTATACAGCCAGTTTAGAAACATGCATAATTGCTTATGGTCAACATCATATCACTGCCAGATCACACATTAAACAGATAACCACTATTATTATAAGAGCAACTTCCTTGACCTCATATTTTGGTCTGGCTCAGGATTCCTGTACTTTACCAGTTTGGTTTGTTATAGTGTGCCAACCTGGTGTCTGTACATGTCATTTTCTACTACTGTAAGTGACCAGTGCAATAGAAGGCTGACTATAAAATGCACATTTGAGCACATGAATAGAATAGATTCAAGAAATATGATCATAGTTGCTCCTGCAATGTTTTTTTAAACACAGACTCTATGCTTTTTATTATAGTTAAGGTACAGTATGTGTTATTTGGCAGTATAATCTGACTTGAAAATGTAAAAGGTTTGGGCAACCACACATTTGGAAGTAGAGATCTTTCCTTAAAACATGGCTTTGGTTTTTAAACATAGCAAAATTTCTGGAAACTTCAGTTTCTTGAAGTCTGCCAAAACTTCAATCATATTTAACATATTCTTGGGGCTTACATATAATGTTTCAAGTAATAAACAACATCTTGTTTAGAGCAGCATGAAAAAAGGGAAGCACTCCTTAAGAGTCAAAGTTCTAAACCAGCACTAAAAGTAAAGTGTATTTCTCTTGCAAGAAAACTCAAACTAAACTTGTGAAATTTGTTAATAACAAAATTAGAGACCACTTTGCACTTCAAAATCATACAACTGAAATTAATTTAGTCCTTTATCATAATTAATTATATTACAAAAAGATGCATTCCCTATCAAGTGCACTGTCATTTTTTATGCAAAAAGGGAAAAGAGACTTTGGGCCTAATTCGGAAAAAGAATGAACTATATACTATACATAACTACACGCCTATCGCAGTCCCTTTATCTTTCTATATGTAGCATATTTATCATCCACTTACAGACATATAAAGTAGACTATTAACTAGATTGCATTAAAAGCAAGACTTCTGCCATAGGAAGACTCGTCATACAGAATATCACAGTGTAAACGTATGCAAAGTCATCTCTAGTAGCCTGGCATCATTTCAGTACACTCATCAGAATACATATTAACAAAATTATATTGAGACATACAAACAGCATATCACAGCCAGGATAGAAGCATGGTCCATAATACCTACCAGGGATGTAGTGAAGCTTAATTAATTCACTTTTATAAAGCACTGTGAGCTCCTCAGATGATCAGTTTAATTCATTATTATCCCACACTGACTTTGAATCTCCTTTATTCCAATAACGCATCTGCTTTAGAAAATTATACTTTTTAAACGTGTAAAAACACAGATGAAATTTGTTGGAGTCAGTTGTGACTTGGCCTATATATGTGTGTATGAATCATTGTAACAAAAGAAATACATTTTTATCATAGAATCATAGAATCAATGAGTGGGAAGGGACCTAGACAGATCATCTAGTCTGACCCCCTGCCATGGGCAGGAAGGAGCACTGGGGGCGGGAGGGGTCATAAGACCCCAGCCAGGTGCCTATCCAGTCTCCTCTTGAAGATCTCCAGGGAAGGTAAGACCACCACCTCTCTGGGAAGCCTATTCCAGGCTCTGGCCACCCTTACAGTGAAGTAATTCTTCCTAATATCTAACCTAAAGCTATCCTCCCTCAGCTTGTGGCCATTGTTCCTGGTGACTCCAAGGGGGGCCCTGGTGAACAGACTTTCCCCGAGTCCCTG